ATCATATATTTCGAACCACAGGCAGCAATATTTCAGTAACTTCATGGTGGCCAACAAATATTATGAGGGAAGACAAGCATGGGTACTGGGGCCTGTTCTGCCCTCACACCCCCATGGGAAGACAAGCATGGGTACTGGGGCCTGTTCTGCCCTCACACCCCCATGGGAAGACAAGCATGGGTACTGGGGCCTGTTCTGCCCTCACATTCCCATGGGAAGACAAGCATGGGTACTGGGGCCTGTTCTGCCCTCACACCCCCATGGGAAGACAAGCATGGGTACTGGGGCCTGTTCTGCCCTCACACCCCCATGGGAAGACAAGCATGGGTACTGGGGCCTGTTCTGCCCTCACATCCCCATGGGAAGACAAGCATGGGTACTGGGGCCTGTTCTGCCCTCACACCCCCATTGGAAGACAAGCATGGGTACTGGGGCCTGTTCTGTACTGACACCCCCATTGGAAGACAAGCATGGGTACTGGGGCCTGTTCTGCCCTCACACCCCCATGGGAAGACAAGCATGGGTACTGGGGCCTGTTCTGCCCTCACACCCCCATGGGAAGACAAGCATGGGTACTGGGGCCGGTTCTGCCCTCACATCCCCATGGGAAGACAAGCATGGGTACTGGGGCCTGTTCTGCCCTCACACCCCCATGGGAAGACAAGCATGGGTACTGGGGCCTGTTCTGCCCTCACACCCCCATTGGAAGACAAGCATGGGTACTGGGGCCTGTTCTGTAGTGACACCCCCATGGGAAGACAAGCATGGGTACTGGGGCCTGTTCTGCCCTCACACCCCCATTGGAAGACAAGCATGGGTACTGGGGCCTGTTCTGCCCTCACACCCCCATGGGAAGACAAGCATGGGTACTGGGGCCTGTTCTGCCCTCACACCCCCATGGGAAGACAAGCATGGGTACTGGGGCCTGTTCTGTACTGACACCCCCATGGGAAGACAAGCATGGGTACTGGGGCCTGTTCTGCCCTCACACCCCCATTGGAAGACAAGCATGGGTACTGGGGCCTGTTCTGTACTGACACCCCCATGGGAAGACAAGCATGGGTACTGGGGCCTGTTCTGCCCTCACACCCCCATGGGAAGACAAGCATGGGTACTGGGGCCTGTTCTGTACTGACACCCCCATGGGAAGACAAGCATGGGTACTGGGGCCTGTTCTGCCCTCACACCCCCATGGGAAGACAAGCATTCTGGAATGTCTAACAGATGGCCAAGATTGTATGGCAGTACTTTCCACAGGCTATGCATTGCCGGATTCAGTCGTACAGCCCTTAACTGTCTTTTGGAATACCTTCTGTTAACCTTTTTGAGGTTGCATCATTAAAAACACATTCCTAATGTCATTTTCCTGATCTGGTAAGCAGAGCTCTGATTTTTCAGATGAAAGGTTGTTCTGACGTCCTTAGATGTCTGTCAATGGTAGCAAGAACAAAGATCTGATTAAAAGAGATCGGTGCAGATGTTAAACACTATGTAATTCCAACAGCCACACATTAGTAAAGACCACAAGCATCATCACAACAGATCTGGATTCAAACTCACAATTCTACCCAGCCTGTGCCCCCAAAATTAAGAATTGTGTTCTTGGAATGCAACTAAAGAAGAGGTTTTGGTTTGGTTGGTTTGGTTTGTTGTTTTACGCCACACTCAGCAATATTCCATCTATATGGCGGCGGTCTGTAAATGATCGAGTCTGGACCAGACAATCCAGTGAGTGATGTCATGAGCAACGTTCCACGCAATTGGGATCGATGACATGCTTCAACAAAGTCAGCGAGCCTGACCATCCGACCCTGTTAGTCGTCTCTTATGACAAGCATAGTCGCCTTTTAAGGCAAGCATGGGTTGCTGAAGACCTATTCCATCCCAGATCTTCACGGGTCCTAAAGAAGAGAGACAAGCACTGAAAACAAGACTATCACCTCATAGATACAGACTGTGTTCCCTTTACAGAGCCATTAAGGCTGGGACAGCAACCACAGGCAGAGTTGTCCATAAAGATATAAATACAGTCGAAAAACAAGAACCACTCTCTTTGAAACAAATGCTTAGCCGGAGTAATTGCCTCAATTGAACATGGTACAATAACCTTTAAACACACCGCAATTAGGCCCAGACTTAAGTTCTTCACTTGCAAGTGCGCTTCCATAAATATTTAGTGATTACATGTTGAAAACGCCAGTGGAAAGTGTGTGTTTTTTAGGTATTTTACTGTGAGTCTGATGAATGTGGCTTCTGAAACAAGAAAGCATTCTCCCATGATTAATAGACCATTTAATTCAGGTTTAGCGGGGTTTTCATCTCTCCCATAAATATTTAGTGTAGATAACTCAGTTCAGCTGCGAAGGAATCATTTACCATATTCGACGTAATAAGCCCCCCACTCTAATAAGCGCCCAAGGCGATATTTGCTAATATATTAGCTAGTGAACAATCCCAATTAGCAACTCCTCCGATTGATCAATGTACACAAGACTTATTTATTCGTGCATAATATGCCAGGCAGGGGAACAACAATTGCCATCTGATAATTAAAACGATAAAAAATCCACACCTATCAGTGTCTGAAACTCAGCAGAGTACACTGAGAGCCTTAAGGGCCAGCACATGTCAAAAGCTGTAGGCCCAGTGGAAAAGCTGTAGGCCCAGTGGAAAAACTGTAGGCCCAGTGGAAAAACTGTAGTCCCAGTGGAAAAGCTGTAGGCCCAGCGGAAAAACTGTAGGCCCAGCGGAAAAACTGAAGGCCCAGTGGAAAAACTGTAGGCCCAGTGGAAAAGCTGTAGTCCCAGTGGAAAAACTGTAGGCCCAGTGGAAAAACTGAAGGCCCAGTGGAAAAACTGTAGGCCCAGTGGAAAAACTGTAGGCCCAGTGGAAAAACTGTAGGCCCAGTGGAAAAACTGTAGGCCCAGTGAAAAAATGAAGGCCCAGTGGAAAACTGTAGGCCCAGTGGAAAACTGTAGGCCCAGTGGAAAAAAACTGAAGACCCAGCGGAAAAACTGTAGGCCCAGTGGAAAAAAAGAAGGCCCAGTGGAAAAACTGTAGGCCCAGTGGAAAAGCTGTAGGCCCAGTGGAAAACTGTAGGCCCAGTGGAAAAGCTGTAGGCCCAGTGGAAAAGGCTCCGTGGTAATAGATGAAGCCTAGATTTGTCAAGGAACATATCAGCTTGTAAAACATCTTTGCGACTACATGTCACACACCATTTGATAACCCTACTGTTTATAAATACGAGAGTTTATACCTTAATAACGTTTGATTTTGATGAATTTTTTTTAAGCAAACACATTTATAATGATGGTGATTATTGGCAATTTTATGATTTCCTTATAGAGCTGCCCACTAAATGTGCGGGGAAAAGTCAATAATTATAAATAAATTGATAAAATGTGATAAATTGAAATGAAATACGTATTTTCAGAGTTTGTGAAAAGTGATAGATAGATTCAATACATGAATGATATGAGTGAGTGGTAGGTTCATGAAACTATATGACATTTCGACGTGGCTAGAGTGTGGTCGGTACACCGGCCTGTGGTGTTTAAAGAGTTAACTCAGTGTTCCCGCTGGTTGACTGGCAACTCTAAAAATTACCAGTCCACACTAATTTTTGTCAGTCCCAACTTTCAACAAATAAAAGAACATATGAAAATTACCTGGTTTCAATTCCTTCAACATGACATCATGTTTGCAGTAACTTAGTGAGATCTACACATCATTCACACAAAGTCCAGTCACGAATTTCTCCTTTTTAAAAATATTTCAAGACTAAGTAGCTCAAAATAAATATTTAACCTTGAAGCAAGGCAAATTGTTATTTCCTTGCACTAAAATTGACAAGGGGAAACCCTGATAGTGACGGACAAGCTGACTTTGTTCGAAAAATATACTTATATGAATATTGTTGATGTTTTGTTCAACAACAAAGATTTATAAGGCTCGTTAACGAGCGGAGTACTTTGAAGATTGACCTGGTTTCACACAGCAATCTTTGAGTTATGATTCACTTACCATGTTTATAGCTTACCGTATTCAATGTAATAAGCGCCCCGCTCTAATAAGCGCCCAGAGGAATAATTGCTCATATATTGGCTAGTGAACAATCCCAATTAGCACCCCTTCCGATTGATCAATGTACACAAGACTTATTTATTTGTGTATAATATGCACTCATGTGTTATATGCACCCTTAATTATGGGCAATTAAATTCTGAAAAAATATATCTGTCGTATATAAACAATTCAGGCTGTCAGCATAAACCATGAAATTTATCTTTCAACTCTGTTTTTTTTCACCAAAATAATATTCTAATAAGAGCCCCCTATTTCTAATTTTGAGAGCGCCCTGGGCACTTATTACGTCGAATAGGGTATTAGAAACTGCTGAAACTTAAAACTATCAGCCCGAGAACAAATATGTCCGTCTTGGGCCTATAGGCTGATGTCTCTTTCGGACACTGACACCTGAATACACTGATAATCAATCTCATTAAAATCAGACCTTAGTCCTCGCTATCGCTAAACAAAGATCTGAAGACATCCCATTAGGGGTCACGTCAGAACAACCTTTCATCCGAACCAATCAGAGCGTCGCTTACCAGATCATGAAAGTGACAGTCGGAATGTGATTTCTAATCATACAACCTCGAAAACTTTAACACAGGGTTTTCCGAACGATAGTTACGGGTTTAACGACTGAATCCATACAATCTAGACCATCTATTATCCATTCCAGAATGTTCTTTTGTTTAGGTTTCAAATTTGTAATCGAAATTTGTCAAGATATGTTTCGAAGCGTAGTCGCCAATTTGAAATTAGTGCCGTAAAGCACGAGAAAGGTGCCTTCTGATTGGTCATTCCATTGGTTGGTCAAAGTTCGCGCAAGGTCGGTCTGACGTGACCCGTAATGGGATGTCCTCAGATCTTTGTTTAGCGGTAGCAAGAACTAAGATCTGATTTTAATGAGATTGCACTGATAATGGGCCTACCTGTTTTTGGCCTCCAGCTGGGAGATGAGTTCTCTCTGTGCCTTGTTGGTGTCGAGACTGAAGTTGAGCTCGGATGGACTCTGAGACTGAAAGCAAACAAACAACCATCAATAGGTAAGTGAACACACTTGAACATCAGGAAACCTCCAACCAAACTCTGTAAAGGAGTGAGTGAGTGAGTATGGTTTTACGCAGCTTTTAGCAATATTCCAGCCATATCACGGCGGGGACACCAGAAATGGGCTTCACACATTGTACCCATGTACGGAATCGAACCCGGGTCTTCGGCGTGACAAGCGAACGCTTTAACCACTAGGCTACCCGACCGCCCCTGTAAAGGAGTGAGCGAGTGAATACTGGGTCAACATCACGGTAGCGGAATATTAGAGCTTGTCAGTTCGGGAGGAAAGACAAAAGTGGTGGAGGTCAGAGTGTCTTCCACTTTGGTGAAACCCACAAGCACATCTAATGTGCTGACAAACAAAAGATCTAAAAGAGTGAATCTGGATTTGAACCCACTGCCAGCAGATTCTGGCACATCTAGGGGACACAACTCTGCACGGAGAGTTGCAGTGAATGACTGAGTGGATTTTACATTGCTTTGAACAGTATTTCAGAAATATCACCACATGTCAGCCCACTCACTCACCAAGTGTTCAAGAAGAGGGCAAACTGATGAACATGTTGGCAATCTAGGAATATCCCCCTGAAGACTACAGACAAACAAGGGAGTAGTGACTCAGGCATGATCTATAAAACCACTTAACACAAAACGTCAATGCCAGAGAATAACCAGTCTTGATTATTCAATGAAACAGATTCTGAGCAAAAAAGGCGAAAATTATCTGAATGGATCGCTGAAAATCAGTGATGACCAACATACGTTTGTGAAAAAAAATAAACATGTCTCGGCTTGCCATAGCAACCGCCACTCATAAAAAAACACCAAAAAATTCTAAAGTAAATGTACAACACAAAAAACCCCAGATGTTTGTTAAGTCTTTCATTGGTGTGACCTTGAGTAGAGTATCTGAGACGATACTTTACAAGATATCCTAGTCCCATCCGACGAGGAACCAAAATATTTGCACAAGGTCCGGCATGTATTTACAAGTGACAGCATTACCTGCCAGATCCAGTCAACCATAGGGTAAGTTACCGCGATGTTCTACACCCACATCAACATCCAAACAGCGCCACCTTGTGGGAGGCAGGATACATACACATCATCATGCAGGACAACAAAACAAATTTCAAATGAAAATCAATGACTCTCCCGTGTAGTTTGGAGCTAATTTGCTGTCATCAGCATCCGAATCAATCCTTTAGGGAGAAATGACAATAGCTTTATGCAATATACATGGCGATTTTTGCACCAACAATAACAGCTGGGAATGTTGGGGTGAAATTGATGTTTGTGCACCAAACTAATGAAATCATAACACTGAAGAGGATCACATGAAGCTCTGCGAGTGAGTGAGTGAGTGAGTGAGTGAGTGAGTGAGTGAGTGAGTGAGTGAGTGAGTGAGTGCATGGGGGTGGGTTGTTGAACGACACTATTCCAGCATTTGTGAATGACCTAAAAAAATGTCTTAATTGGGTGACTGAGTGCATGAATGAGCAGGTTAATGCATTTTGGCAGGGAAATTGAATGAGTGAGTTGTCATGTCATTTTAAACACTATTCCAAATTAAAAGTGATGAGAGAGAGACAGAGAGAAAGAGAGACAGAGAGAGAGATAGACAGAGCAGGAGAAAGAGAGACCAAGCGAGGGGAAGGAGAGACTGAGAATGAGAGAGAGAGACACACACAGACAGAGAGACAGACAGTGACAGAGACTGAGAGAGAAACAAAGAGAGAGAGTGAGAGAGAGAGACAGTGATACAGAAATATAGAGAGAGGGAGAGAGCGAGAGAGACAGTGACACAGAGAAACAAAGGTTGAGAGAGAGAGAGAGAGAGAGAGAGAGAGAGAAAGAGAGAGAGATAGAGAGAGAGAGAATAAACATTTTTCAGAAGCATCCTCATCCTATCCCATTAACCTGATTCAAACAATAATTATCAACAAGCTCAAAATTCAACCCTTAATCCCCTTCATTCCATCATCAATATTATTCTTACCGGAGCAATAACACACTGTGTCAATCAATACTTAACACATACTGTAATAGTTATTGAAGAAATTTGCTTTCATTCAACAAATTGTTTGTCAGTCAATACTGTAAGCCATCTCCATGGCAACCCTTCTAAACAGGTATCTAAATATACCATTAGCATGATTTCCCTACCTCACAGAAGTTAGTCAATCAAGCACTAATGTGGAGTCCCCCGAGATGAGGATGAAGAATACTGGCCTAAAAGATTAATGTAAATTAATACTAACCTGTAGCACTTGGCTGATAGAAGCAAACATTAGCCACAATGGGTTAAGTCACATGCAACACAGGCATCGCCAGGTACGGATAAGTGACGCAAAATGTTTCGACCATAAATTCAGACCTGAAATCTTCCATGAAAGTCGTTAAAGAAACACTGCAGGTATTTTCTGAACACACTGCAGGTATTTTCTGAACAAAGGTTACCAACCCGGGACAAATCAATGGCAAAGATCTCAAAGACGCTTGAAGATAAATATTTGCCTCTGACCTCAAACAGGATTCTTTCCATCAATCGAAAATCAATAGTGGTTAAAGATTATCGCAAAAACAGGAACCAGACAGGTAAATGTTTTGCATTGAATATTACTGGCTGACCATCCTCGGAGAAGATGAAGTGAAGCAGAGAGAGAGTGGGGCGGGATGTTGTTCTCTGAGACAGGATGACAGGGGATGGTTCCATCTGTAAAGGACATCTTGGTCTGATCAATACTAGCTACTGCTGAATTACACTGTAGGTCACACAAATGAATACCTAGCACTTTCATCAGGCAATTATTGTCATGGCTGATGCAAGTTATTCAAGCATTAGTCGAGCATTTATGAAGGACACAAAAAATCTTCCTGCAATATGGGTAGGCCTGTCTTTGTGGGGTTGTCCCGGCATTTAGTAGTCGTATGCTTGTTGAAAGGACAGCGTTGGTGTACAAGCAATAGGGTCATAAATATTGTTGAGGACCTGACTGGACAGAGGGAAAAAAACCAGACATGGTCTAGACATAGAATGGACCAGGAAATATATAATAGACATGGTCTAGACACAGAATGGACCAGAATATATATAATAGATGTGGTCTAAACAGAATGGACCAGAAAAAAAAATAATAGATGTGGTCTAAACACAGATGGGACAAGAAAATAGATAACAGACATGGTCTAGACACAGAATGGACCAGAAAATAGATAAAAGACATGGTTTAAACACAGAATGGACCAGAAAATAGATAAAAGACATGGTCTAAACACAGAATGGACCAGAAAATAGATAATAGACATGGTCTAGACACAGAATGGACCAGAAAATAAATAATAGACATGGCCTAGACACAGAATGGACCAGAAAATAGATAATAGACATGGTCTAGACGACACTGAATGGACCAGAAAATAGATAATAGACATGGTCTAGACACAGAATGGACCAGAAAATAAATAATAGACATGGTATAGTTAGGCTGGAAGGTATTCAATCCACAGAGACATAGACTGGACTACTGAACTGGAAGACATGGACCTGTCTAGAAATAGACCGCCAAATAGACATGGTCTAGACACAGACTTAGACAAGGATCCATAGCTATTGACACAGACTGGTCCAGACCAACAGTTTGTGTGAAGCCCTCTTACTTCTTTTCTCCCGAAAGTCTCTCAACAGACGTCATAATTTTTGCGAAATAAATTAATTACCTTGTTCAGTATCCCTAGCAACGTCATAATTCATAAACTTTAAAGTTTCAATACATAGTTGACTGCAACAAAATACTTCATACAGATTTTCTGAGCTTTTTCCATAAAAAAATTAAACTGACCAAAAGGTTTATTATTCTGATGCATATCTGCACTTTGTATCCCAGGGACCATCGGCTAGCATCAAATTAACTCACTACATCGCCGAAGGGAATGGACACTTCAGAAACATGTAGTAGACTTGTATGGAGCACATGATTTAATGTACCTCTACATTACCCTGAGATCATCCTAACATCAATAAAATCCTCAGTGCAATTACACCAGCCATCAATATTCAAGATCTATGTCCTGTAACCAGGCGCTGTCGTCAAACAGCATATGTCATACATGACATGTCATACACGGTCATCAGATACGTAATTATGTCCGCCACAGTCTAGTTTGTGGTGGGGAGAGCTATAGCCTGTAAGAATCTTGTCAGGGGCAGTCTTACATCAACACACACTTCATCAATAAAACATCAGGGGATATGGCAATTCTACACATAGAATCAGATGTGAATAACATGGGTTATACACCAGGCATGTTTGTGAAGAGATGACGTGTTTGTATGTATCTATGAACTTGGCTGTGTATGTGTCTGTCTGTATGTCTGTATGTCAGACTATGAAAGTGTCTGTGTATAAGTGTCTGTGTGTGTGTCTGTCTGTGTATAAGTGTCTGTGTGTGTGTCTGTGTATAAGTGACTGTGTGTATGTGTCTGTCTGTGTATAAGTGTCTGTGTGTGTGCCTGTCTGTGTATACGTGTCTGTGTGTGTCTGTGTATAAGTGTCTGTGTGTGTGTCTGTCTGTGTATAAGTGTCTGTGTGTGTGTCTGTCTGTGTATACGTGTCTGTGTATAAGTGTCTGTGTGTGTGTGTCTGTCTGTGTATAAGTGTCTGTGTGTGTGTCTGTCTGTGTATAAGTGTCTGTGTGTGTGTCTGTGTATAAGTGTCTGTGTGTATGTGTCTGTCTGTGTATAAGTGTCTGTGTGTGTGTCTGTCTGTGTATACGTGTCTGTGTGTGTCTGTGTATAAGTGTCTGTGTGTGTGTCTGTCTGTGTATAAGTGTCTGTGTGTGTGTCTGTCTGTGTATAAGTGTCTGTGTATAAGTGTCTGTGTGTGTGTGTCTGTCTGTGCATAAGTGTCTGTGTGTGTGTCAGACTGTCTATGTAAGTGTCTATTGTGTGTGTCTGTGTTCGCG